CACGCTTACAAATGACTGGTGTGGGCATTTGTGCCCATCATTATTATAGCTGATGTTTTTCTGGCTTCATTCGCTGCTTGCTAATGCTGGGACTCAACATCTATTGTTGCTCTCATGCATATTTCGGGAGTTGAGCTGCTTCTGTCCTGCTCTCAATACCGTTTTGTCTGTGGTATCTATAGTCAGACTTCACCTATTTGATTTGCAGGCTGGTTTGTAAGTATGGGTATGTTCCAGAGAAAAGTTATCCCTGACTGCCTTCCATGACATGAATATTGATATTTTCATTTCTTGTTCTTTTGGTGGTAAAGAGCTCTAGCTTCTACCCAAGTTACGAAAAACATGTATTGAGGACACTGGTATCTTTGTGAGGAAGGATCCAAGAAGTAATGTTTATGGGACCTTGTAAAGAGGCTGCTGTTACATGGTTAATGAGCCTTGACGCATGCAGTCCTTTCTTCTGATTGAAAGGCTTTCTGAATGGCACCAATAAAAATGCTGCCTTATAAACTGGAAAATCCCTGGCGGTAGTGTTCTGGTTTTGATGAAACACTAAATCTAGGGTGCCATTTTCCGAGCATGCTGCCTAAATCTCTCTTGTAGGGGTGGTACTCTCTCCTCTACCTGACCACAGCTTCATATGAGGATCTCAGTAGAGGATTTTGGGCTGTAAAATTTCCTGACCACAGGTTTATTCTGTTACTGTCTTGGAGGTATTTCACTACTGAACATTATCTAGAAGAAAGATACAAACTGGTGGGCTGGGTGTTGCTACTAAGCTGGCGATGGAAAGTATCTAATGTCGGTCTAAATGGGTGTCCTCAAATTATCGATGATGTCTTTGAGAAGCAAACTGTCTCTCATGTATTGTCTAGACTGGTATATGGCATTTCTAAGATGTTGTGGTATTTGATTCATAGCTTATCAGAACAAGGAGATAGGAAGTAACTGTTGATTAAACATTTATGATTATATTTCTGAGCTAATGTCTCTACCAAGTAGAGCAATGAAGGGCTAATCTTGACCTGAACGTTACTAACATAGTATCTGATGCTATGAGTATTGGCACATCTTACAAATTGTTTGATGCTTGCCACTTTAATGTGCTTTCTCTTTTCTGCCAAATAATGGCTTCAAAATGCTTAATGGTCAGTGTTTTGTTGTAGGGGTTTTTAACTGCTTGCTAGTTTGGTTTTTTTCATCCTCTTGGCAAGCAAAACCTTGACCTTATTGGAAGTTTGACAACTTACCAGTGCTTACTAACATGAAACTAAAGCGGGGGGAGGCATGCTGTGATGACCGGGGACTCAGAGTACTTAGCATGTGCCTGTCTGCCTCTAGGAATTTGCAAGGCAACTTGAGGCTTTAAAAATACCTTTTTCTTCCCCCCCCTCTTTTTTCAGGTCCCCAATTCTAAAACACAATGTCGCAGAGAGATGCAGATAAGTACCTTTATGTGGACAAAAACATCATTAATAATCCCCTGACTCAGGCTGACTGGGCAGCTAAGAAGCTGGTATGGGTTCCCTCAGAGAAGAATGGGTTTGAGGCGGCTAGCCTGAAGGAAGAAGTGGGAGATGAGGCCATCGTGGAACTGGCAGAGAATGGGAAGAAAGTGAAAGTAAATAAGGATGACATCCAGAAGATGAACCCCCCCAAATTCTCTAAAGTGGAAGATATGGCGGAGCTGACATGCCTGAATGAGGCTTCTGTGCTTCACAACTTGAAGGAGAGATACTACTCGGGACTGATCTATGTAAGTAATCTTGTCTTTTGGGGTAAGAGTTCTTGATTACAAAGTAATCAACAACAAAGTACGTTAACCTTTCATTGCCCCTATATGCAACTCTCATGTGATTTAGCTTCTTCCCTCTACTTAAAATTTTTTCACTAAACTATGCCAATCCCCATCTAGTTAATGTTGAAGCTTTCAAGGAATGTTGTGGTAAATCTGTCTTTAACATTTTAATGTCTTTGTTTGCAGGATGTTTTGAATGCCATTTAACTTCCTTGTAGCAAGAAGTGAGAGGAGTTGGAAAGTGGTAAACAGGGCATCTGATCTGAACTGAACCAAATAATAAAAACACAGTCCTAATATACCTAACATCTGAATTGCTTTTTCCCCACGTCTGGAGCTTCAGTGGGAAAGAATGCTAATGCCAAGATTTTTGTGTTGCAAAAATTCTGGATCTCTGTGTGTCTTAGTAGAGACAGCACATATGTGCCTGCATGAGTTTACAGATGGGAAATACTTCTTTTTCTTTCCACACCAAAATGGACAAAGGCAGAGATTCCTGCTTCTTATTGCTGTGGAAATGACAAAGATACCATTTATGGCACCAACACTGATACCCAATGAAGCATGCAGCAACTGCTTCACTGAATACCAAAAGCAATAAATAGGGAAAGGTGGGGAAGGAGAACTTGGAACCTTGACCTGGTTTTTCAGTTCCCTTCTGATCTTCCTCTTCATGTGGCCTCTGTTTAGCCACCAGATGTTGGTCATGATAGCCTCTACTTTATTAATACTCTGCAGGCATAGAATGAATGATTAAACTCAGCTGATATATCAACTGATATAAAATTATACTAAATTATAAATTTAGTCTGACTCCCACCTTCTGATGCCAAAATTTTGAGACCTAATGTGCTTGGAGGTTGCTGTTAATTACTCTGTGTAGTCAATAACTCCTTTGACTGTTGGTCAGAATCTGTTCTCAGAGGGAAGAATCTTTGTATTGAGGTGAAATAGGATGTGCAAGATCATGTGTAACATTTTTAGAACAGGAAACATTGCTAGGTTATGTAATAAGTTGTTGAAAATAATTCAACAGCATCTAAAAGTCTGTTGCACACTATGCAATGGGCTGTTTCATATATCTTGCAAGATATCCTCTGAAATTTCAGACATAGTCTGTCACTGTAATAAATTGAGTTCTTCTAATTGGATTGGAAGAAGTATAAAAAAAAAATCCCCACACCCTTCACCCAAGTAAACCTAGCATAGTAATGCTCTATTAAAGAATCTTAGTCTTGCCAAAACAGTGTTTCTGTGCACTTGTGAAATGGACTGATCTCACCTGTCAGCAGTTCTCAGCAAGTCAGGAGATTAATGTGAAAGCTTAAAATACTTTCATTAGAGTGGCTGTTAGTTGATCATTAATCCTCCTGAAGAAAGAGAATACACGCAATGTATCTCTAGCATAAATGTCTCTGGAAGGATCATAAGCATAATTTAGTTCTGCTCTTGTCCTTTCTTTCTCTCTTCTTTGCCAGCAGGACTGTGTGTTTTTGTGGCTTTTTTTTTTTTTTAAACTTTATTTTTCTGTCTACCCATCCTGTAAAAGGAAGGGGGAAATCTTATGGCTGGTGTGGACAAATTTTGAGTAGGGAGTGTCAAACATTTCAAGAACTAAGAGCTTGAGTCTGACACCAATTTGCTGTTTCCATGTGCTGATTGGTTCTGCACTGAAGTGACTTGCTAACAGACTGACTGTCATATTAACTCTTTCTATTTGGAATGCTTTATTAGAAGATCATTTGTAACTTCTGTGTTGCTTACCTGAACTGCCTTGTTTGTATTCAGTGTGAAACTTAAAACTCACCCTTACATGTTCCAGTTATTTCATTGAAGTTAACAGTTGCTGGAAAAGAAACTTTCTGATGCTGTAAGCTTTGTGCCATGCTGCAGACAGTCCTTTCAGCTCTTCAGAGCTAGTTTAGCAGTTAGAAAAATAAAACTAATTTCAGTTTGGCCCATGTGTCGCTTGAAATAGTTAGCGAAAGGTAATGCTAGAATTCTGTTTTGAGATAGTAATGTCTGAAACAAAGTACAGATTTCCAAGGCAGCTATGCTTATAATAGATTAGCCTTTCAATTGGAGCCTTAGGTTCAATTCAGGGTTTTATGCCTATAAGTCTTTACTTGTACTTTAATAAGATGAAGATGACTCTTGTCTTCTCTGTGGCAGGGCTGGCAGCTTCTGCTCAGTGTCATTCAACTTGCTTCCTACATAAAACTCTCAGTGTGCTTGACCAGCAACAGGGATTATATAGGGCATCTTCTTTTGATTTCTACATGCATGTTGCTGCTGCCATGGGATTTGTAAGGTGGTTCCTAATGCAGACAGCTGGAACTGGCCGCCTAGATGGTTTTTGTTTACTTGTTTTCCAGAACTCTGATAAAACTACAGCTTTTCTGCTAGCAGTTCAGTTGACTCCAATGTCAATTATTTCCATGCCAGTGTAAGGAAAAGGTATATTGCATGTACTGTGAACATGCTACCCTTGAGTCTACTCCTTTCTACCTCTGTCTTCCACTAGTGTAGTCAAAGGTCAGGAAAGCATGACCCAGTCTTTCAGCTGCTATTCTGTGCTGTACAAGTACTGTCTGATGTGATGGAGAACTAAGGCTGAGCCAAAAGGAGCTAGCATTGCCAAGGTGGTTTCTGCAAACTCCTTAATCTGTTCCTTTCAAGCACTACCTTAAACCTAACCTGACTAGAATGTCTTGCTGAAGCTTAGCTTCCTGGACTTTAGAAGTCATACACTAAAAGGTTTTTAGCCAACTTTCATAGTTTCCCACTTTGGAAAGAGATTTAGTATTTTCTGTAAACTATTCAAATATTCCTCAAGTATTTAAAAAAAAAAAAAAAAAAAAAAAGTAGGTCTGGAAACATATCCTGATAGCTTATACTGGGGTATGGAAAAGGAACCTTAAATACCTACAAAACTTTTGCTTTCTGGGGGACATAGGGTGAAAGCTGCATCTGGATCTGCTGCATATAAAAGTGGGTAATTACTTAATGTTAAGCCAGCATGTAGAGAATTTGAATGTAAGACCGTAGACTGGGTAGTAGATGCTTTCTTCACCCTTCTGATCACTGTAGTCTAATCCTTACCTTTATCTAGCTAAAGAGGCTAAATCTGATTAAGGACTCTGCACTCGTTGTGGAGAACTCTTTACTACTCTGAAGCACTCTTCATTTGAGCAAACAGTAGAAGAGATGGTAGCAATACAAATAAAAAGTGCCAAATGTGCTGTCTTCTGGTAGCACTGCAAGTTGCTGTAGAAAGCTGCTCCTATCCAGATGTTTCAAAGAAGCTGCCTCTAAAATTGACAGGGAACTAGGGTAGCTCTAAACCCCAGCATCAAGTCTTGGAATGCTATTCTTAGAAAATCTAGGAAATATCTAAGGACCCTCTGCTCCTCCTATTCCCTTTGCAAGTAAAATGTTTTTTAGGGGTTTTTTTTTAGGTATTCAGATCTCAAAGATTTTATCTTTCCATTTAAGAAGCTTAATAGTTCCACTAGAAGTATTTTGACAGTTGTCTTCTGTTGGTACTGTAGCATTTAAGCCAGTGGAAACCAATTGAGAAATCGAGGTTTGCTGTCACATAGCAATGAATTAACCGTTTGAGATGAATTAGAAGTAAACTTTGGCAAATGTTGCTGACTCTCTGAGCATGGAATACTTCAGAATTGTTTTCTGACTAGTTCAGAACTGTACTGCATTAATGACCTTACAGTTTTGAATCTAGTTCTAGTTTTACTCGTTACATTTTAAGTCATGAAAGTGTTCAGGCTGGAAAGGTCTTTAGGAGGCCATCTAATCCAACTTCCTGTTCAGAGCAGGGTCAACATTGAGTTCAGCCTAGTCCAGTGGTCTTGAAAACCTCCAAGGAGTACACTGGTCTTATTTTTCTTTTAGTAACTATTTTGGCTTGAAGGTTTATTACATTGTAGTTGATCAATTACTGGATAAATCCATAGCAAACATGAGGCAGAACATAATAAAATGCATGTTTCTAGGAGCTGAGCACGTACCTTATATAATGAAATGGACACTTGACTTGAATATAGGAACTTTGAAAGGAAGAAAAGCCAGTCCTAGTGGACTGTTAATTAGCCAGGGAGCAGGCCAGTTTGATATCAGTGTGACTAATGTGTCAGTTGATGCTCTGTGCGTACTTGGAAAAGTTGAGTACTAGTCAAATTGATACGATTTTAGCTGTTGCTCAGATTCTAATATTGTTTAGTGGGAGGCATCTCACATGCTATCACTGGAAGAACCACTTAAACGGACTGGTTCGTTGGTTTGTTTTTCCAAGTAATATACTGTTAAAATGTGCAAGTATACAACATTAATTCCTGTCTTTATTTGCTGGGGCATTTCTTTCCAGACCTACTCAGGCCTGTTCTGCGTGGTAATCAATCCTTACAAGAACCTGCCCATATACTCAGAAGAAATAGTGGAGATGTACAAAGGCAAAAAGAGACACGAGATGCCCCCTCATATCTATGCCATCACAGACACAGCCTACAGGAGTATGATGCAAGGTGAGTGCTGACTGAGATAGTGACTCTTTTTGAAATCACAAATCAAGGTTGCAGTCAAAACACTGTAGGAGAACAATTCACTGCTCTCAAAAGGCACTGTTGCCCCCTCTGTCCTTGCTTCAGACACCTGACACCTACTTGGTACCAGCTTTTGTGTTCAGGTGAATAGCTTTCTCCTGCTCTAGTGGATTGAAGAAACTTAAGAGTCTGGCAGGAGCTAAATTTGACATAAGAACAGACTGGTGTGAATGAACGAGGTTGAGAAGCAGGCAAGGAGAACTGAGGTAGTGAACTTTCCCTTTCAGTGATGAGCCTATGGAACGATTGCTGTATGTGGGCAAAGTATGTGTATTGGTTGATGGAGGCTTTTAACAAAAGTGTTTAAAATCCAACAGTCATACAGTCTGGTTGGGTGAAACAAGCTTAGTATAACCTGCATTTTTGAAGTGTGATGGTCAGTGGTAGTTTTACTGATCAGGAGTTATTTGGTTACAGTCTTACTCTGTTAAAAATAAAACTTATTATTAGCCAATATTAAATACATCTGTTAGCTTTTCATAGAATAAAAGAAAGCAAGCACTGACCTGTTTCCCCCCCCCCCCCCCCGTGTATACAAATGAGAAGTAAAGAACCATATGTATTATCTGCTGCTTGTTTGTCACTTGAGGGCTTTTAAAAATGCAGCTCTGAATGTCCTGCGCATATCTCCCCTTCTGAGAGGAGGTCTTTCACAGAGTCAGTGCTTGTGTTTGGGATACTTGGAGAGTGTTCAGGTATGGAGTTATTTTGTGCTTTTCTTCCTGTTTGTAGCTGGGTTATATGAGGATGCATGCTTTGTAAGGCTTAAAGGATATAATGGACAGTTTGATTTGCCATGGCTTGTATGAATTTGATTACTCCTTTATTTTCTGATGACTAGCAATGATTAAGGTGTTTGTCTCTCCTAGGTCTTGTCATTAGCCTCACTTTGTTGAACAAAGGCTAGATATAATAAAATCATGCTTTAAAATTCTAGTTAGACTTGGTTTTAAAGAGTTCTGCTTTTCCCCTGCCCTCACTACCACTTGCACCTCCAAGCATAGGACTATAACAATATGGTTGCCCAGAGTGGAAAGGGAGAAAGAAAAAGTCCTTCCACTTACCCGCGTTAGTGGCTTTAAACAAATTTTACGTGTGGAGAATGCTGAGGAGTGTTGCTGAAGTGTGGTGCCATGCAGAGCACATAGCAGAGCTAAGATGATGGATCGATTAAGCTGTATTTGTAAAAGCCTTGGGTCGGGAGGGGTGAACCATACCGACATGCTGCAGTGGACTGGTGGCAGGGTACTGATGGCGATTTGTTGAAGATGTGGCACCTCTTAAGAAATACAGCTATACTACTGATGTGTTACTCTGAAAGGAATGCTGTATCCAGAGGAAAAAACTATGAACCCGGACCTGTATAGGACCTCACTTCCCTCAGACAAAGACTGGATCTACTCTGAAGAACAAGGACAGATACAACGCATATGCTATACGTGGCAGCATGGTTGTCCTTAAACCTCTTAACACTGTTTTGCTTTCTTCATTACTTCTTTCTCTCCCTTGCCTGCTCCTTGTCAGCTCAAGTACCAACACATATTTTCCTTGAACAAGCTATTGACTTAACCGTACCAGAGTTACTGTTCCCTAAAAAGAAATCTTTTCTACGTAGAATCAGAAACAGTTTTTTTGGCATTGTTGTAAGGAGACTGAAGTCCTTTTCCCTCTATAGACAACAGTTAAACCATTTGGAACTGCATGTGCATGCATCTCGTCTTTCATCCCTGCCATATATATGAGTATGTGGCAGCGGATATCCAGACAGCTGCAATTCTGCAACAAGGGACAGGTGACCTTCCCTGGTCTGATGGTGGTTCAGAGCTAGTGATTAATCTACATGGATATTTTCTTTCCTTTTGAAAAAAGAAGGTGTCTCCGTCAGACCACTGCTTGAGCAACACCTAAAACTCGGAAATCTGACTTCAATTGCTTTGGTGTACAAAGCTGAAGAATGGCAGCCCTGCCTCTGTTTTCCTAGCTCAGGAAAGCTGCTATGAGCTCTGCTGGAGTGTTTACCTTTCCCAGAACAATTCTAGCTCTGCAATATTCTCAGCAGTATTGACAGTCTAGATGTTTACTCCAGCTCTTCTTTGCCTGGTTTGAGGTACCTTGTTGCTGACTTTCTGGAATGCTTGTTGGGTGTGAATATCATTCCCAGTTAGCTTTTGAACTAGCCTGCTTTGGCCTGTTTAGCTAGGTTTGGAAAGATTTTTGCATGTGTCTTGCTTCACACACATGTATGTGTGCTGGCAAGAACCTAGAGATGGTTTTAGGGTTGTTTGCCGCCTTATTTCCTTATTGCAAATGGTAACAGTAGCATTCTGATGTCTGCTACTGGGAGTGAAGGTGAGTAGGTTGTTGCTGTGTCTCTGGTCCTGGCTAGCCTCTAGAGCAATGGAAAGCAACATTCCTATTCCACTTGCTCACTTTTGCTTAGTGGTGGGGGAGGCTTGGTGCACCAGCCAGTGGTATGGCAGGAATCTGTACAGAGAATAGAAGATGAACGGGTCTGGTGCTCCACATGAGCCGGAGGCATTTAGGATTAGGCTGCCTTCCCTAGGTTATTTTCAGAGCCCTGAAGACCGTGAATCCTTCATGGTCTGGAGAAGGATAGCAAGCTGTTGACTCTGACTTCTGTCAACATGGGGTATAGTTATCTCTTAAGCTGACAGAGCGGAAAAGCCTTGCATGTTAATTGGTTTGGACTCTGAACTTTTTTTGGTTTTCCGTCAATTTATGGTATTCTAATAAGCAGGCCATTCAAAGGGACATTTGTCAGGAAAGGAATTGGGAAGGAAGAGGACGATGAGAGCTTTATTCCAACCTCTCCTAATCCAGGAACTATTTAACCCTTTTCAGGCATCTATGCTGATGCACTATGGGTGAGCTTGGTCCTCTTTTTGTGTCTACTCTGGTTACTCCATTCACAAAAGTGTCATGTGGCATTTATATATTCCAAGAGGTTAATTTGCTTTTTGTTAAATTTCACCTGAAGTAGCTCCATGAAGCAATTATATGATGGAGAAGGTGTTCAAAGTAATTTCTTTTTTTTCTTTTTTCTGCCTTTCTCCAACCCAAGAGACTTTTGAGAAACCATTAAGACTCAGAAACGAAATAAAAACATTATTTTGCTGCACGGTACTTAGAGAGATTTCCTGTGTTTCAAGAGCAGAACTCTGAAAAAAAAAGTGGAGCATTTTTGGTTTTGGAGAAAACAACCATTTATCTTAATGTTTCTGTTCCCTGGGTAACCTGGATGCCAGAAGCCTCAGGTCTGACTGTTTTCAGAAGAATTACTCTTCTGGTGCTGATGATTGAAGCACAGTGCCTGCAAGTGGAGTGGTGTCTTGAGCAAACAAATCATTATTCTAATGCAGCAGATGTACACTGAAGGGGTAAATTCTTTACCTCAATTCATAGTCTCCAGGGGATCTATTTAGAAAAACATACTTTAAAGCTGTTAAACAGCACCTGTTTGTCTATTTGGAACACATATAGGGAATTTTCTATGTCAAATACTGATAGAAACTAGAAATTACATTGGTGTTTGGAGCATGATGGCTGTTCTAATGTCTGAAACTTTTGTAATAGCTTAGATCAGTATAGTTATTCTGGTCTCCAAAGCTCAACCTGCTCAACTAAGAGAGAGGTAGGAGGGAATAGACAGCACATTGCTAACGAATGTACTCTGTCTCCTTTCTCATCCAGTTTCTCTACATATTAATGTAGGGCTCCTGATGGTTCACTAAACAAAACTCTTAAAATCATTGTGATGTGATTAAACCCTCCTTGACCATGATGGATTAGTCTGCAAAGGAGCCTGTGCAGCCAGCACCTTGCTGGTATTCACTTGGGAGTTAGGCAGTGTCTGGGTTTGGTATTTAAAAGAAAAAAATTTTGATGCATAGTAACTTCATTATTTTTATTGGCCTTGTTACTTTAAGGGAGGAAACAGTGTTAGCTATTGTAAGACACATCACTTACTGTTGTAGATCTTCACATGGACCTCAGGCCCAGTTGTCATTTTCACAAGAAACGGTCCTCTAGGTCTGCTTCTATAGAACATGACCTTGAAGTATTTTATTCGTAATTTTCAGATGTTTACATATTTCTTAAGTTTCCGAGCTAGTAGAACACTTCTGTTTTAACTTCCTTGGTCTCAGGTCTTCTTTCTCAGGTTGCTTCTTAGCATTGGTCTGCTATGCTGCACTGTATATTGCACTGTCCCAAAATGCATCTTTATTTTCGATACAGTATTCTGGGTGTGCTTACCAATTCAGGGATACCTGATTGACAGAGCTGCTCAGATTATGTGGAGGCACAGATGTCTCTTTCAAGTTGCATGTAAAGGTCAAGTTCCGTTTCCACTAAAACCAAAGGAATATAGCCTGTAGTTTCACCAGTTTGTTTCCAAGATTTGTCCAAATTTCTGATGCAAAGGGCAATGTTAACTTTGGATACTGATTATGGAGGATGTTCTTTTTGATGATGTCTATACAAATGGCAAGAAAACATGTACATAGTTTCTGATTTTAAGAAATGTGTTACATGCTTTGAATTACTTGAGATGTCTAAATGCAGCTCTAAGAATCTGTGTCTTGAAATGTGGTTTTCAATAGAACAAGGAGCTAAAAAAAGAGTTCTTTGCCCACTTGTTTTTTTGTAGTTACCACACCCTTTTTGCTTCATTCCTGTAAACCAGAGCAGAAGCTCTGTGGCACTTATGTAATGGCTCAGCCCTTGCTGTCAGTCTCCCTGCAGTTCGCTGTTTTAGTACCATGAGCTGCCTGAGCTTTTGCAGGCTGTATACCAGCTTTTCTTTCCTGTCAGAACTTCATAAACATTTGCGTAACCTAAAATTACAGCCTAACTTCTTTTCCTGTTTTGCTATCTCCAGATTCAGTTAAGGAATGCTAGAG